TTGTCGCGTGAACACATCTTGGGGGCTCCGTATCTCATCATATCCGCGTGTATCTCCCGGTATCCCGCCATATCCCGCCATATCCCGCCATATCCCGCCATATCCCGCCGCGGATACCGCGAAAAAAATCGGCCAGCCTAGGCATAATTTGGCTGAATTTGGCCGCAAACCAGCCTCTAGTGTCTAGACTCGGCTCAGATCCCGAAAAATTGATGATTCCTTGAATTTCGTAATTTACCATACCACTCTCTGCTCATACCATACCACTCTGCTTGGAGGTGTGTAAGACAGACTGACTGACTGATACCACTCTTTTACCAGTACAAATGGCCATCACTGCAAAAGCCCAATGTGCAGGACTCCGATGGCGCGATGCGGTCATCGTCCGCGGGTTCAGCTTCAGGATTGTGGGGCACAAGTCAACACAGAGTTTTTTTGGCGTCCCTCTCCCCGAACGCTCAGAGAGGACACAGCGACGCACTGGGAGTGGGCGAGTGGCACTGCTTCATGCGCGGGGGGTGGAGGGGGGAGACTCAAACGCAAAGGGGAGGGGCCCGCCTTGGCCTCACTAGTCCAAGCTGCCACACTCTAGAAGGGGGAGGCCTTGAGCATGCCCTCGACAAAGGGGAGCGCCGAATCGCCCGCCGAGAAGGGCGCCATCACCTCGCCACTGTACGGCGCGATCAAGCCGTCGAGCGCGGGGACTGAGCCCGGCACCTGTGGAGGTAAGGTCCGGTACACTTCTCCACACACACACACAGGTGGTGTGGGGAGGGGGGGGGGGGGGCAGCCCGTCTCCACGTCTAGACGACAGGAGCCCCACGGCATTGAAAAGTGCAAGGCCCGGTGCGCGTGGGCGAGCGGTGTGTGTGTGAGAGAGAGAGAGAGAGTGTGTGAGTGAGTGTGAGTGTGAGTGAGTGTGTGTGTGTGCGCGCGCGCGCGTGCGCGCGGCACCTTGGACGCAGCGACGAAGCCCATGATGCCGAGCATCGCGGCGCGGCCGTTGTTGAGCTCCGTCACGAGCTTGGCGTCCTTCTTCTCCTGCGACATCTTCGCGGTGAAGCCGAACGGGTCCCACAAGTCGAGCGGCACCTGCGCCGGAGGCGGGGGCGGCGGTGAGGGCGAGAGTGGCGGCGGCGGTGCGGCGGGGGCGGCGGTGACGGCAGCGGCAGCGGCAGCGGCGGCAGGGGGCGGCTGGGGGCGAGGCCGAGAGCGGCGGCAGCCCGGGCGGTGGCGGAAGCGCGGGCGGCGAGCATGGCATGTGGTGGGCGACGCACCGGGACGGGGATTCCAACCTTTTTGAGGGAGGGGAAGACGCCCGGCTTGCCTGGGCAGGAGGGAGGGGGGGGGGGAGTCGGGTCTCGCCGAGGGAGGATAGGGAGGTGGGACAGGGGAGGGGGGAGGGGAGGGGGGAGGGGAGGGGAGGGGGGAGGTGAGGGGGGAGGGGATGACGGAGGGCAGTGGGCAGGGGAGGACGTAGGTGATCTGGGAGGGTACCAGGCATTTCCGGAGGGATGTCCGAGGGTGGCTTGAGCGAGGGTAAAAAGAACGATGT